AAAATGTCATACAACCAGACAGATAAAAACATGAAGATGATTATATCCTTTACTCACCTGCACGTGCATGCACAATGTTCCGAACACCAGAAGTACCGTTGAATGTACAATGTACACAAACACTCTGGGGTTAAACATTCCAGGTGTGGGCTTGTCAAAATGTGCACCTGTGTCCCAAAGACCGAGTCTAAGACACAGTTCTGGATTAGCTAGAAAATAAGCATAAGCTGCCATAATGCCGAGGGTGGCCATAGGTAGAGCCAGAATGAAGTTCGGTATCTGCCTCAGCTCAAAGTAGCGGAGGAAGCCCACATCCCAATAAACATCCTGGATATGAGAATACAGCAGAGGCAGAGGTCTCATGCACCATAGAGGCGGTGGACCATTTTCATCTGGAACCCGGTAGCCCTTTAGTTCAGCCAGAGACACAAGAGCAGGGGGGATCTGTTCCAAGGAGACAGAAGGAGTGCAAAACGTCCTATACCCATAGTATTGGAAAGCACAGAAGGGAAGAGCAATAATTGCAGTTCCCAGGAGGGATGTAAGCAGGAGACGGATGATGGCCCAAATGTAGTGGAAGACTTTACTGTGGCCTTTTGTCGTTGTTCGATAAACACGAATCTGGGTAATAGCATGCAGTGATGGAAGATACAGTAGAAATCCTATGTTAACAAGTCCATTAGACCGTGCTGCAGTGGCTATACTTAGAGCCAGACAGGCTCGGAAGGTGAATCCTTTCTCCAGCAGGTACAGACCGCCAAATGTGAGTGCAGCAAACAGGCTTTCTGAGTATCCAGCGGTCATAAAAACGTTGGCAGGTGTGATGCAGTAGAGCAGGCTGGAGAGCAGAGCAAGTCGTCTGTCCTGAAGAACCGTCCTACTGAGCGCATACAGGGCGACCACGCTCAACAGGAAGAGGGCAGTGTTCCCCAGAGCCACTGCCACCAGCAGACGCCCCCGCACACTCAGCCAGCTGCTCAGGGGCCACAGCAGCGTCTCTGCCAGGCCCCGGAGGATGATGGGGAAGAGGGGGAAGAAAGCAAAGTTGTGCTCATAAAGGTATCCTCTCTCAGCGATGAAGAGGAAATGCTCAGCATCCCAGTGAGACAGGCCTCCCAACAACCACTCCACTGAAGAGTCCAAGTACAGAGGCTCCTCTGTCCGTGGGGGCCTGAATGCATCAGCATCATGGTCAGGGATGACAGCATTGAAGACAGCCTGAGGAGAAATATGAAACACCATTAGAGTAAATCCTGCCATCGTAAGCAATTTTGCTGTACAGAGAAACCCAGCTGCAGTCACTCTGTCTCTGACCTACTTACCACATACAGTATGTATTCCCCTGAGCACTATCCATTACACACAGACATATCATTGCCAAGGTGACTTAAACGTCAGGGGAAATCATGGTTAATAACAAACATTGCAGGTGTAAACCGGATTAGCCTATTCCTAACCATCCAACTTGGGCTCAAACTTACCTGCAACAACAGGGACAATCCCCTGGTAGCTGTGGCAAACTCCAGCACTGCTCGGACGTCCATAGTCATTGATGTGACGAAGAAAATGTGAAAAAGCCGGTTCTGAAAGGCTGGAGCATTGTCGCTGCTACGAGACAGTCACCTCATACTGACTATAAAACATAACTAGCGAGGAAAAAACACTCAGCGAATGATATTATGGAAGTTTCGCGTTTTCATTGGTTAGACAAATTTAAGACAGGGTAAACACTGATGTTATTAGTTAGCCAGCCGTCGTTATTAATCGTTTGTTTTCGCATAGGTGCAATCTTTGTCCTCACATCCTCATCATCCTGCAGCAGCAGCTTCGTTTCGAATAGCACTTTGTACTTCCGGTGCAACTGAAGTCTTTTCAAAACAAAAGCTCATGAGGCGAGTTTAGGAGAAGCCTTTTGTAGTTTCTGGTAAGTAAAAATGCTTTCATTTTTATTTATTCGAGGAATGGGGGAAGCGAAATATAATCAGTATATATTTATTTATTCAATTGTGTAATCTTAAATCAGATATGTCGTGTCTTAGATTTGTTGGTCATGTGACGGAATCAATGCTGTTTCTTCCCAGCAGACGGAGCTCCACACTGTTTTATGGACTGGTTTTTCAAGTGGTGCAAGTATGTTCTTCATGAAAGGACATCGTGTTGCCTGTCTTTTTAGCCTTTTAAATGTTATTTGTTTGGATTAAAGATGAATATTGTAACACGTCTTTGATGTACCCTCTCATGTGAAATATATATAATTTCTAAAGTCTGCACAGCTTTCATGTTAAAGGTCCCATGTCATGCTTTCCCGGTTATTACCCGTCCCCTTGTGTGTTATGAAGGTTTTTATGCATGTAAACGGTCTGCAAAGTCACAAACCCTCAAAGTACACCCTGTAGCGAGTAAAACTCTAACACAGAAAATACCTAGATGCTGCCCCAGAACGCCTCGTTGGAGATTTCTTTTTCTTCCTGGGTACAGTGACGTGCCCATACCCAAATGGACCCATTGGTCCAAATGGACCAATCCGTGGAGCCGTTACGTTACGTCGCGGACTTCCTCACACACACACACTCAATCTTTTCTCAGCTGCAGCTCCACCGATTTCTCCTCCCTGAGACGGCGGGACGAGGCGAGGCTGTGAGTCAGTCTGTGGGAGTAAGTCCTACATGTGCAAGTCATGAGCAAGTCTCAAGTCTTGACCTACAAGTATCAAGCAAGTCCCAAGTCACTGTGGTGAGAGTCAAGCAAGTCCCAAGTCACTGTGGTGAGAGTCAAGCAAGTCAAGTCAAGTCATTGCTCAGGTCAAGCAAGTCAAGTCAAGTCATACGAAATTCTGATGAATAAGCCCAGTTTCCGCATTTAAATCAGTTAAAAGACAGGGGTTATGAAAATGGATTCAACCCACACTATGATCTTCATTACATACACAGTTAATCATTTGAAATCTAATTTAGACCGATGACAATCATATTAGATTAATATTAACCCTAGAACTGCAGACAATATAGCTAGGACTCAATCAAAAAGTCTGTTCAAAAAGGCAGAATTCCAGGTAAGAAAATCGTATATGGCATTTGCCATTACACATATTTAATTTAAATATATGTTAACACAAGAACCGCCAACAGCGTCAGCACCTACATAGATATCATTTTCAAATCATTTAATTTATTCCTCTTCATAATTTCCTTATAAACTAAGTAGGACGATTTAAAACTCACTTAATTGGGTTAATTTTGAAATTGCTTCAGTTTATCATCATAACAGATCAAAAAGTTCAGATTCATTTTTACAATAAATCAAGGAATGATGCACTTCTACAAACAAAAACAACATAATTAAAACATTTAAACAAACTACTAAAAGTAGATGAACTACATTATTCAACAGTTTACAGTAACTTCTGATAATAACACAGGGGAAATAAACGAGGCATCTCTTTTCCTCTCTCTCTCTCTCTCCCTCTCCTGACAGCCCGTCAGTATCAGGGTTAGTACAAATGAATCCCTTGGCGGTTCTAGTGTTCATTTACCGTTTTGTCTTCTCTTTGTAATGCTTAATCGATTTGAAACCAAGTCTAACGTAGCTTAAACTTAACGTTAGCTTTCTAGCTAACACAACACATTCATGCACCTTTCTCTGTGGGGTTTTTTGTAGTGACGAATGAAGTTGGATGTTGTGGTGGTCGTGTCACTGATCTTTATGCTGCAGACCCTGCATACCGCTGTTCTCTTATTATTATCGTCATCGACAACATAATCCTTGAATCCAAACTTGACTATTTGTGGAGTAACGCTAGCCGCTGCCATGTTAACTGACGCTCCTGCCGTCTAGTGGGTAGCCAGGTTTGCGCGCATGGCGCTATAATCACCCAATCACGTTTAGAAAAAACTAAATGTAATATCTCAATACAAAAACAAACGCAAATATTTAATTTTAAAAAGTCAAGTCCTTTCAAGTCATCTGTCTCAAGCTTAAGTCAAGTCTCAAGTCATGAATACCAAGTCAAAGTCAAGTCAAGTCTTTTATCAATGTTAGTCAAGCAAGTCTCAAGTCCAAAAATATGCGACTCGAGTCAAGTCATGTGACTCGAGTCCCCACCTCTGGGGGCACACACACAAACTCCCAGCCAGGCTGCGGGTGTGTGTGTGTGTTCGGGCTGGTTTCGGGCTGGGTTTCGCTGTCTCGCATACGGCCACTGGGCTCATAGGGAGGGAGGGGGGCAGGAGCTCCAACAAGCCGTTTAGGACAGTGTGAATACACATACTATACAGAGATGCTGTATGAGAAACCAATGTGAGTTTGGAACATTGCACAATATAAATCTGTTAAAGTAGACCTCAACAATGGAATTATGATCAGTAGAAATGGCCATGCCATGGGACCTTTAATGCAAGTACAGTGTAAACATTTGTTGTATTTTTTTTCATATGTGTGTTGAATTAATTTCTGTTCTTTGCGTTTCCTTGTTTTAATAGTACTTTCATCTGAATGCACCAAAACAGCAAAGCAAATTGTTTGTGAAAATCTAATTGACAATACACACAATTCTGATAGTGTGCTTTTCAGATTTTTACTAAATGGAACATGAAGCGGGTTCTGTTTGGCCCCCGATAAAGATTTAGCAGAAATGTTTAGCTTTAGTGGGAAGCATAAAGCGGTTTTGATAAATATTAAAATGGATATAGTTTAAATGTGGCCCTCCTTCAGTCTTTATGCTATGTAGCCTGTTCAAGTTAGGCGAGACAACTCACTGCACCATCGTTTTTTTAAGCATGTTCGCATTTTTTTTTTTACTGAAACACAGAAACAGTAATGAAGCTGCTAATGTAAACAGTAATTAAAATGATGAGTCAAGCCCGCTGAGTAGGACAGTGTTTCCTGAGCACTGAGGTGAAGAAGCATGCACTTCAGAAATTCGTTTCAACACAATTGTGTGCAAATTCACACATTCGATGGAGGTCACTATTCCAGAAGAACAAAACAATCAACAGCTTACGAAGATTTAATGTACATTTATTCTTACCACGTGGAACATATAGTATAAGATTTCATACTGAATAAATGATATTCATTGAGCCAAAAAAGGGAAAGGGAGGAATTTACATGTTGTCTTAGCTACATAGTCTGAAATACAAATATGCAGAATCCATGACTGAAGAAAAATTGTCAAATGTGTACTTCATCTAGTTTATTTTTGTTGTACCAGGAGATAACAAGTTTTAGCCGTGTCTGCCATACTACGGAGCTGTGGAGAGACCGGAGGTGTGGGTCTAATCGGTGGGGACTGGAGATCACAGACCACACTCACATGTCAGCCTCAATCCCTCACCAATAACAAGTGTGAGAATAGTGACACAGACAGAGACAGACACAGAGAAAGGAAGTGTAATGTACAACATTATATATACACCACAGCAAAGCTGTATTTGAAGTTGAAAACCAGTCCTAAGAGGTGATTTCTTTTCATAAGGGTATTCATACAATCAAGGGATAAGAGGAGGTAAGGGTGTTGTAGGTTCTTGATACTTTGGGGAAGAAAGCCATTTTCTGTTTAACACCAAACTAAAAATGACCTCAAAAACTCTAGAAGAGCTGCATCTTCTGCTTCTTTGTGAAACGTGTGATACAGAATGCTTACACTCAAGAGCAGTACGGTACAGAAAATGTCCTACAATCTACTGCACACTGCACAGGCCTCCCCGGTGAAGGTGTCTATTGACAGCACTTAGTCTACTGTCGGGCTGACTGGTGAAAATCCAACTACAGCAACTATAACCAGTAGGCCACTTGTCAGTCTGTTTCACCTCTGAAAGTCAACCAGTTACAGACTCATTGTGCCCTCGAGGGGAGAGCTAGGGCACGCTGTGTCTCCCAAACTCACTGTAAACGAGACAGCAACTTTGGTTACAGTTTTTGTTTTTCAGCTATTTATTTATTTATTCATCTTTATTAAAAAGTACTTTTCCCCCCAAGTGCAGAACAGTCTCCCAACCGCTGTGCTCTGCTCCATGTCATCCAGTTGGCATTCCTGTTGCAAGTAGTGTCACTTTGTGGGCATCTCTCCGGTTTTGTAATCCCACACAGCTCTGTGATAGCCCTCCTCGAGCAAGGACGGCCTGCGGAGGGCTCAGAGAATGGAGTCTGAAGGATTTCATAAATTAAAGACAGTCACTTGAACTTTCCTTGCCCTGTTAACACACACAAGCCAGGTTTCCAGGGAAGAGGGGATTGGGGATAAAACCCCCCAAAATGTGGAGCCAAGGCTCCCTACAGCTGTCATGACTGGCCCACCAAAAAGAGTACATCACAGATAACATGAGAAACCAGTGAGTTCATAAGGGGAGACACTGAAAGGTCGAGGAGTCGGGACTCTTGTAGTGTGAACTCTGAGTGGTTATCCTCCACCTTGGCTAAGGCGTGCAGCGCCCGGGCAGCCCGCCGCATCATGTCTGGACTTGTGGGCTCGAAGTGCATTCCCTGTAGGTGTAGCAGAGAGCTCTGGCTCTGCTGGAGCTGCGTGGCGGCCAGACTGTCCTCCAAGAAGCCCAGCAAGTTCCCCACGCTGCCTTTCTGCACCGCGATTGCTCGAGCTGCGACGGTATCACCCTGGGCTAGGTTGGCCAGTAGGACCACGGCCATCTCCCTGCAGACGGCAACCTTCCTGTCTCCGATTAGCCGCACCAGGTTCCCGTATAGCTTCTCCAACCGACTGAATGGCGGAGTGGCCAGGATGAGGTCCACATTGTTGTCTTGGATGCTTAGTTTGCTAAGTGTTTCCAGCACCAGTCTCTGAGGTGACAAAGCACTGTGGGGGCCCAGGGAGGGGAAGGGGTCCTGGGCCTCTGCCGATGGGCAAACAGCCCAGTGGAGAAGACCATCCAACAGAGGCAGGCAGATGCTCTCGGGGTAGATTGAGAGGTCTAGTTGGCCTGAGATGTTTGCCAAAGTGACCAGTGTGTTCTCCCTCAGGAGCTCCAAGCAGTCCCACCACCATTCATCCCTTTGGCCCATGCCCTCTTCTGAATCCTCATCTTTCTCGTAGGTGAGCGGTGCTTGTTTGCGCTCAGGGTGCCTGTGATGGAGCAGGATCAGGCGGCCCAGCAGCAGCAGCAGCCCAGGATGTTTGGACATCTCGTGGTCGTTGCCTGGCACAAAGGACAGGCTCCGGACAATGTTGGAGATACAAATGCAGCGGCGGGCTAAAGAGTCCTGCCAGTTAGCCAGTGCGATGAGCGGCCCCTCGTCTTTACTGTGAGGCTCATCTTCCAGGATGATGCCAGTCTGCTTTGCCCTCGGGGTGAAGAGAATGTCAAGGGAAGGAATGGGTCGATTATTCTCCTGGTGATCAACTTTCTCCACTGTTTTTGTCTCAGAATCGTTTTTCCTCTCCTCCTCATTGTCCAGAGAGGGGCTGGTCTTCTCTGCCTCCGCAGCTTTCTCAGAGGAAGAAGTCTCTTTTGACCTTTCTTCTTCCTCCTGATTCTTCCTTTCCTCTTCATCAGTTAGCAAACTATTTTCCAGGTGCACTTCTGGGACGCGTTGCTTCAGCAACTTTGAGGGCACACATATTCGTTGTCGTGGTTCCAAGAAGTCTTTGCGTGGCTCAAAGTGAGTCTGGATGTGCTCTGTTGAGTCTCCCCCGCCAGCACTCCAATGAATTAACCCGCTGTCAAACTCTTGCATTTTGCCGTGATTATTATTAGCTGGATATGGGTCCTTCTTTCGTATCACCTTTAGAGGGAACTTGTCAAACTTGCTGGCCTGTTGGGGTCTTTCATGGGCAGCTAAGGACTGCGATGAGCCCGTCTGGTCAGAGGAGGAACCCTTGTTCTTCCTGTCCTCATCTTCTGTCTTCTCCCCTTGAGCCTGAGACTCAGAGCACTGCTCTTCCTCTTCTTTCACACGCACTGGAGCCTCTGTTTCTTGTTCTTCCTCTTCATCTTCGTCCTCGTCTCCGTCCTCTTGTTCCATATCCTCAGCTTGAAGCTCCTCTCCTTCTTTGTCCCAGTCTTGTTTCAAGGCATCAGGATCAAGTAGTGTCCTCTGGCCAGGGTCTCCCACCTCGTACTCCCGCAGAATGCCAAAGACTTCGATGAGGCAGCGTCTGAAATACTCAACCACCAACTCCAGTAGGCCGGGTAACTGAAGAAAGAACATTAGACAAACGTTAGACATGATCGCTAAGGATACTGTGCATAGTGATTGTTATAAACAGTCATTAAGTCTCACCGTATTGAGCTCAAAGGTGGAAATACTGTTGTCATCATACAGGAGGATGTTGATGGTGTCTAAGGCCCATGTACTTTCAGCCAACAAACCAGACTTTAGAGACATCATGACTCTCCAGGCCTCCGGGGTTCCTAAGGATTCAAGACAAAAAAGCAACTTAGAACCACATAGTTATAGCAGTGCTGTCAATCATAAAAAGGTTTAATGTTTAAATATACTATATTATTAAATTTTAGGCATACCAATATCTTTTACGGTGAGTCTTCGCCGTGGTTTCAGGATAGGATGGGAGGCTTCTATAGAGCCCGGGGGAAAAGGCATGTCTCGCCTTATTAGGGGCGACTGCACCGGAGGGGGCACTATGTGAGACGCAGGCACTGGAGGGCCGGCCTTCTGCATCTTCATGACTCCGTGCATGTAGGGAGATTTACTCGGTGATGTCCTGCTATCCATGGGGCGGGGCATGGAGGCGGGGCTGGACACCTGTGGAATGTGGTTCTGCACCCCCTGAAGGGACTGGTAGGTGGACTGTACCGGGCGAGGCATTGGCTGGCCGGGCCCGGCTGGACCATAAGAAGGCTGCCGAGGGCCCATCTGACTCCCCCACTGGCCATCGTGATTCATGCGCTGCTCTGACGACATCATCTCCTCCGAGCGGTTCATGCCAGGGTAACCGGGTCCCTGGGGTGGGCCGCCCTGCCGACCGGGGTAGTTCTGATAGTTCATGTCTCGCGGCCCCTGCCACATACCTCCCTGAGGACCCTCGGGACCTGGCTGCATCATCTGAGGGGGCATGTTGGGCTGAGCGTTGGGCCCCGTCGAACCCGGCATACGTTCACGGCCAAATGGGAATGGGAACTGATTGCCTGGGCCAGGTGGACGCCGATCAGGGCCGGGGTAGGGCCCGCTGCCGCTGTACTGATTGTACGACTCTTGCTGTCCTGAAGAGGGTGCAGGGGCCCCTCCTGGCTGCTGCTGCTGTTGCGGAGGTTGTTGTCCGCCATGGAAGGGCCCACTGTACTCCGCCTCATGACGTTTTGATGGAGGATAACCCCCTTCCACAGGACGCTTGTAACCCTACGCATCAAAAAGGTACAGAGAGACAATTGATTTCACAGCATAACAGTAGAACAAAACTAAATCCACTTTATAGTGTCATACTAGGCAAAGAGAAAAATATATACTAAGTCAATACAGTGTATTGAGCATCATGTGAGAGAGTGTAGTGCAGATGAATCATTGACCTGTTGTTGTGGGTACATTCCAGGCGGCTGATTTTGGTAGGAGCCTCCAGGGGGCGTTCCCTGTCCAGGATACTGATTACCATAGGAATCATGCCTGCAAACATAATGCCTCGTCAGTGTGATCATGAACATAATATGCATTTCTATGTCACAAGCTCACATTTACAGTCAACATTATGTCTTATAGTGTTTTGTGAGCAAAACATATCAAGAGTTTGTATTTATTTAAAGCTTTACACACTCATTATTCTTAATTTGTTTTTATACCCGTCTCAGTTGAATCAATAGGATTTTTTTGTATACATCTATAATACTGTTTAAATATTATGCTAAATAGAAAACTAAACTATTTGTGTTAATTGTACTGGTATAATACAGGCCTAGAGTAATTTTATAAAATGGGATTCACATTTCATTCAAATGTGACTGTGCTGCCTTTACCACACCCACATACAATAAACCCAAACCAAAAAAAACGTTGTGATCAATTGAGATGTAGAATTAAAATGTTACCCATAAGGTAAAGCATTTCATTTATAATGCTTATTAATGTAGAAATGTTTAAGATGGTACACTTTGTAAAAATGCAAATATGTTTTTTATGAAGTTTGAACAGTTTCCATTGACGGGGGCTATGTGTACTGACCGTGGCTGCTGTGGTGGGAAGCGATTTGGCGAATACATCCCTGCGTCGGCATTGGCAGGCATCATAGGGTTTGGCTGAGGAGCCCCGGATCCCATGTTGCCCTCTGGGCCCATTCCCGGCTCCGATCTGGATAACCAGAACAATACACATGGTACATTTAAATCTTTACAGAGAAACAAATATTTATAAAAAATGGTTCTGATCACACTACAACATGAATACTTTGGTGTCAAATGAATATCGGTTACTAGCTAGATATCAGATGCTACCAGTCCAAATGGGTACAACTGGGCTATCAGTCATTTTGCAACAAATTATTGATGTGGAATTATTTTTCAGAGTAGCACATTTTTCTAATAGAAACCAATCTGTTCACAAAGAAATTGAGTAAATAGATATCATTTCACAACCGATATAAAGTAAAGTGCACTGGAAATATAAGCATGGACGTGTGCCACATTCCAAACTCAATTTATATTTAAAAAAGTAAAACTTCTTTCAGATCTGTTGACTAAATTTTGAGTGTTTTTTGGTAAATATTTAATAACCAAACCGTGTCAATCCATGGCATTACATCGACTAATGTGTAATAAGCTAGCTGACTCATTGTTCAGCTTTAGAAAAACCTTTCATGACCTGCATAAGAACTTTTAGGTGTGACTAATCATAAAAATAGCTGCTGGTTATAATCAGTGTTCAACAACCTTGAAAATTCCATCTTCCTATCACTGATTTGTACCTCCTGTCGTAGCCTGGTCCATAGGGATACTGCTGTCTGGGCCCCATGGGCATCGTGCCTATGGCCCCAGGCGGTCCTCTGTTGAATGGAGGCTGATGTTGCTGCTGCTGTGGTTGTGGCGGTTGCTGCTGCTGATGGTCACCCACCCCGCTGTTAGGGCCTGGGTTAGCTGGTAGGAAGTGTTCCCCGACTGGAAATGCATTCAAAATAATTTGCATTAATAATAGACTAACTCAACAGGTAATATAGATAGTTCTTTAGTTTCTAGGACAACATGATTTAATCAGTGTGCCCACCTTTGCGCATGTTACCAAAGGGGTCCTTGTTGGGTTCGAAGGAGCCCATGCGCCCCTGAACGTCCGCCGGGTTCATGCCGGACTGATAGGCAGAGTTGGGCGTCAGGTTTTTCCTGGGGAAAGCAGGGTCGCTTCCTTCAGAGAAGGGGTCCTGCAGGTTAACGCTGCTCCTAGTAAGAAGCAGGGGTGAGAAGAAGGGGAAATAAGGAGATGGGTGGGAGAGAGGGAGGAAGAGGCAGAAAGAAATTAGTTTCTCTTATCAAAATGTCTTAATCTAGGACAAAATGGTAAAGTCAGGGGTGTTAAACAACAGTCACCTGGACCCGGGTGTCATTGGGGGCATCTGGGTGTGAGGAGTGGAGGCTGGGGTGGGAGGTTTAAGGTCCCCCCCCTCAGCCATGGAGCTGCTGGTGGACTGGGGTGTCTGTGGACCCTGCAGAGAGCCTGACCCAGCTGTGGAGCAGAGGGACGCTTCAGTTCGGAATAAAGACAGGAGCAGACAGACATGGTACATGACTTTAATTACACTCAAAAAACACAGGTTATGTTTGTAGGTAAGTGCATTCATTTAAACTGCACTTAAACATGTATTTGATTGGAATTGAGTGCAGCTCTAACCTGGAGAGGGTGGCTGGACCTTAGCAGCTTGGTTCTTTTTGTTGTCTGTCACAATCTCAGGAGGAGGGTCCTCGCCTCGCTCAATTTTGCACTCAAAGGCGTACAGACACTGGACGTACTGTTTCTTCAAAGAACTGGCAGCACTGCTGGATGTACCCACATTCAGGGATGTGGCCAGATCGCGCCATTTCTTATTCTTACTCACCTGGGAGATGCATAAACACATAATACTTAGAATAGGGGGACAAGCAATACATGTAGTCTTGAATTCATTGTAATTTATAAATGCAGTATTAACCTGTGCCATGCTTCCGATCTCTTTGACTGACATATACAGTCGGAAGAGATCAAGGGGTTTGCGGCCCACAGCGGGCAGGTTGGTCATCGGCATGGCTTTTTCTTCCACAAAAGCCAAATATCGGTCCACCCAGATCTTTCTCTCCGGCTCCGGTCCTAACTCATACAGACGGGTTATCTTCTCATTGGTAGTGGTCGAAGAGTTGGACTTCTACATTTAAAAAAGGAGAAAATAACAGAATTGTAGACATTTATGGGTTTAAGACGTTCTAAAGTTTTCTAATATAATGCCGTCACAACATGTGGTCGACAGGTTACCTTGGATTTGGGCTCCGGCTTGGGTGTTGCACCCCCATCTACTTTATTATTCATCTTATTGTTCATTTCTGGACTGGGGGCCATACCTTGACACAATAGTAGGGATTGGAATTAGCTTTTTAAATGCCACATTAAAAACAAGTGAACAAAGCTAGGGCTGGTCATCTCTGTACAACTTACCACTTGAGTTATTGGCCATGTTCGGCCCCATGGGATAAGGTGATCCACCTTGAGGGTTCATCATTCCAGGCATGTTGTTCATAGGAGGGCCATAGGGTGGGCCGGAGCCCATCATTCCTGGAGACATGTTGGCGTATCCAGGCATCCTGGCCAGAGGAAAAATAAATCTAGTTTTCATAAAAGTGACAAAGTATGGAACAGGCATCTCATAAAGTCAATCAGAGGTCTAGTGTGAGGTGAAGAGTCTCCATGGTAAACCTACCTGTTGTGCATGGAGTTGGTGGCAGGATGCTGCATGGCAGAGGGGTCCTGGGGCTTTCTGTTCATGCCTGGAGGAGGGCACATGCCTGAGCCTACCTGGGGGGGCATGTTGCCCATGTTAGGACCCATGTTAGGACCCATGTTGGGACCCATGTTGGGACCCATGTTGGGGGCCATGTTGGGTGCCATGTTGGGTGCCATGTTGGGGGCCATGTTGGGGGCCATGTTTGGACCCATGTTTGGACCCATGTTTGGACCCATGTTTGGGCCATAGGGACGTGGCCCCATTTGATGAGGAGGCATCCTTCCGGGGGGCATGCCGGCATACGGCGGTCCCCCACCCTGTCCTGCCATGGCATTCATTGGGCCCATGCCCGGACCAGTGTAGTTTGCGTTGGGCATGTTTCCATAGCCAGGTTGCCGTGGATAACCTAAGGATGTCATTTTAGAAAAAGATTATCAGGGAGAGAAATCACTTGGCTGTGGCTGTATACTGGTCTTGAAAAAACACGGCAACAGTTAGAAATTATTTGTGTTCACTTTAAATGTGGATATTCGGAGCAACAAGAGTATTTTACTCAAGAGCTATGTGATGCAGACTTTTTTCCTACAGTGTGCTAGCAGAGAGAGCTATGCACCCTGAGCAACAAGCCTTCGTCACAGTCTCAGCTCTACTGACAGGAGGCTCTGCTACGTCAGCTGACTCTCTGCTTCACAGCTATAAATAGCTGCAACAGAGTCAGAGGGAGGGACCATGGTATTCATATGAGGCAGGGGAGATATATTCCATAGGTTTTCCTAATGGAAACTAAACACTAGAGAACCTCAGAAATATAAGTAAATTAAGTGGAAAGCTTTTTGCAACATAATCGTTTAAAAAAATCCTCCTCTAAAGCCCATTATATAATTAATCTTTCCAAATCATCAGAGCATAATTTATAGTAAATAAATCTCTCTTCAAGTAAAACATAATGAAGATAATGTAATAGTACACACCTTGTGGGCCATATTGTCCCCCCTGCTGTCCATAACCACCCATGGAGTTGTTCTGCTGATATGGGCCTATCCCAGGATGCATCTGTCCCCCTGAGGACTGTCGCGGGGACAGTGCAGAGGCTGACTGGGGGGAGCCATAAGGGGGCATCTGAGGGTTTCTCTGCATAAACCCTGAAAGAGGGATGGAGATGGAGAAGGCGCTTAGAATCAGTTTCTGCGTCGAACACTGTTGACGTGTAAATCTCTAAGTACACTTTGCGTTTTGACTGCAGCATACCTCTGTCCTGCGCCATGGGAGACTGGCTCATTGCAGGATGTAGACTCCCATCTGAATGCACACTCGATGGCCTGGGAGGCATCTGGGTCCCTAAAAATAATAATATAATGAGTTAATTTAGTGACAGTTGAAAGTGGGTACAAGTATTGACTTTCAAGGTACTGTGCTTGTCAGTTACCAAATGTTGAGTAGGAAGTTAAGTAGTATGTCCCTATGTAAAAGTTGTATCTATACTAAAAATGTCGTTGAAAAACGTTCTAATGGGTATCGATTATAAATGGAGAAATTCAGTAACCCTAGAAAGAAACCTAGGGCCAGTGATTCAAACAGGATTGGTAAGCATTTACTGCTGGACCCATTGGGTGAGTAAGTAAGAATGCATATATTTTTTAGAAAGCATTATGGCTTCAATAAAGTGAATAGAAGAGAATAGTATTATTAGAGTACGGTACCGTGTAATTCTAAGTTAAAGACATTTCAGAGGGAAGCACTGAAATGATTCAAGCACATTTCAGAGGGAAGCACTTGAATAAAAAAGTATATATAATAATAGTTTTTATATTAAGTGTTATCCATTAAATGTTTAGAGAATATTTGTCATGTATTGCAATGAAAATTATTCAGAATTTCAGAACTTTCTAATGATCATATGCCTAATTTCAGTGTGTGAGGGATCAGCCCACCTGGCATGTTGGCGGGTGACAGCGGTCCTGTGCGGGGCGTGCTGGCACCGGCAGGGGAGCCAGCTGGTGAAGGTGAAGGCCCTCGGATGCCTGGCAGGTGGGGAGACGTATGAGGAGAGAAGGGCGACTGAGCCTGGTTACTCTGCTCGCCCTGGCTGCTCGACACACCTGACGTGCTCACACCGGGGCTCAGGGCGCTCTCTGCACCTGTAGGCAGGTCATCGATGGACCCCGACAGGTCCTGAAAACACAAACAGGAAGGGCAGAAGAAGGGTCACAAACATGAAATACTCTAAAGAGTTCGAAAAAAAAGAAAACTGTTATGTTTGTTTAATACTCCGGCTGTAGTATCAGCAGGTTGCAATTCCTGCTCTGTTGTTTATATACCAGTGACACACATACAGATACTACACACGCACACAAAGGCCCAGAGGCCTTTGTCCTTATTTATCTTTTTCAAAGAAAAAAATGAGTGTGCATTAGGGCCAGGGGTTGTCATGGTTACTAAGGCTTGTAGGATGCCAGCTGAGTCAGCATGTAGCAGCAGCCTTGCCATGTGATTTGAATACACAAACAAACTGTCTTGTGTTCATCTGATATGGACTCATTTACACAGCACCTTTTACACAGATGTTTCTCAAAATCTGCTCTCGCACAAAGTCTAAAATCATTAAGGGGCGGAAGCAGCCACAACACAAACGGAAAGCAAAATGAAAGCTTAAAAAAATTAATAGCTGACATTTAAAAGGGGGAATTTAAGTGATGGGCCTCGTATTGTCATATATTCGATATATTGACAGATTAATATGTCCAGTGGAATTTAAACAAGGACACAAATAGAAACTTGCCCTCTCCTCGGGGTGAAAGACAAATAAAATGTGAAAGGCTTTCTATGTTCCAGCAGAGACTTAAGAAGAAACTGACCGGAAGGCTGGAGGGGCGGCCTTGACTGTCCTCTGGGCCAGATTTAGGCTGAGTGGATGGAGGGGCGTTGGACTGAAATGAGTCCTGCGATACCTCCTAAAAGACACCAGAACACATGCTTAAGTATACTGCCAGAGTTACAGGACAGCATGCATGTGATCACAGTATTTAATTAAGTATGATAGCTATGTTGCCTGACTGGGGGTAGTACCTGCTGTGGTGGAGGAGGAAACCGCTGATAAGGTGACTGTTGTGCTTGCTGCTGCTGCTGCTGCTGCTGTTGTTGTTGTTGTTGCTGCTGCTGCTGTTGTTGTTGTTGTTGCTGCTGCTGCTGCTGCTGCTGTTGTTGTTGTTGTTGTTGTTGTTGCTGCTGCTGCTGCTGCTGCTGTTGTTGTTGTTGTTGTTGCTGCTGCTGCTGCTGCTGCTGCTGCTGCTGTTGTTGTTGTTGTTGCTGCTGCTGCTGCTGCTGCTGCTGCTGCTGCTGCTGCTGCTGAGGGTTCTGCGAGTACGCTGCAGGCTGGCCCTGTGGGTGTTGGCTGTGTCCTGGTGGCTGCTGTGGAGGCTGAGGCTGGGGCTGGGTCTGGGTCTGGGGCTGGGTCTGGGGCTGGGTCTGGGTCTGGGGCTGGGTCTGGGGCTGGGGCTGGGTCTGGGGCTGTGGCTGCGGCTGCGGCTGCTGCGAGGGGGGCTGCTGAGGCCCCTGTGTGGACCCTGGGTAGTTGGACTGGCCCTGTGATCCTGGGGGTTCCTGGGAACTTGGCTGCTGCGGGGCCTGACTGGGAGGACCCTGCTGCTGGGCGTAGAGAGACTGGCCAGATTGTGGGGCTGAGGATTGGGAATAAGGTGGCTGAGACTGTGTAGGCCCTTGGGACGGGCCTGGCAGCGGCCCCTGGGATTGTGGGGGCTGCTGATAAGGTTGTCCTCCCTGGGTGTGTGAAGCAGAAGTCGGTGCAGGGTGGGTTTGCCCTGGGTAAGGCGCCTGGCCCCCCGGTTGTCCTGGTGGGGTCTGGGAGTAAGGAGTCTGCTGCTGGCTCGGGTGAGGAGCCTGGCCGGGCTGGTTGTAATACGGAGCCTGGCCCTGAGAGCCATAGCCTCCTGGTCCCTGCTGTCCATAAGATCCCATCTACACAGAATAAACATATACATAAGACTTCAAACACAACTGAAACGCTGATGCAGATAAAATGTGTCACTTAGGACCAGAGTTCCCGTTAGCCGGTAATTACCGGACTATGACCGGTAAAATATGCTGAAGACCGGCAAATCTAAATATCTCCGGTCAAAATGTCCGGTCAAAAATAATTTCCCCTTAGCGCAATACCGCATCAGTTGTGCCACTTATGACAGACAAAAGATTATGTGACAGACAAGAATAGTCAATTCTAATGTCTAACACTTAATGTGGAGAAAGAGATGTCCTGTATGGGTTGATTGTGAGTTGATCTGTTGGTAATGCCTCGGGGTTCCGGTGGGCATGTAAACAAATCACAAATGCATAATGCTGCGCTATACTTTGTGGCCTCACCCGGTTGCATAGCGACGCTTATTGTTTAGGTGTCTTTTAATAAGCAGGTAGTCATATCATTAGCTAGAACTAGCTAGATCTGATCGATATGGACATAAACGCGAGTAAAGTCTAATCTGACGGGAGAGAGAGAGAGATCAGCTGCTGCTGACGAGTCGACACGCAGCTCTGCATGATCACCTGCAGCGGTGAGCGGAACAAAACACACACTTCAGGTTAGAATATCACACGTAGCTATTTTAATTACCTCTCAAACTACCTAAACTAGTTATAGATATGTTTAGGTTTACTGTTGGGTCACTCATTACTGGATCCGCGAGCTGCATGATACTGACGGGCTGTCAGGAGAGAGAGAGAGCGCTCCGTTTATTATTCCCGTGTTATTATAAGTTACTGTACACTTTTGAATAGTTAATCTACTATAATTAGTTTGTTTAATATCTAATCATATCAATTTGTTTTAAAGCTCAATAAATAACAAAGACGACCTTTGACAGGCACTTTTCTAATTTTGTCCGGAAGATTTAAACTTTAACGGACATTTTGACCGGCAAAAAAATATTCTAACGGGAACTCTGCTTCGGACTCAATTCTGAATAAGATAAGATGTGTTTAATACCTGAGGACCATACGGCACACTACCCATGGCTCCAGGTGAACGTCCTTGCATTCCCACTGGAAATCTTTGAGGACCTGGAGGGCCATAACCCTGACCAGGGTAACCTGGCCCCTGTTGTGGACCTGTGGGAGGCCCTTGCTGTGACTGCTGACTGTATGGACTGCCTGCTCCATATGGTTGACCTCTCATTTTCCCCATTGGGTCAATAGGACCAGGTGGCTAGAGATGGAAAAAACACAAGAAAAAGACATTAAGTCAACAACAAAACCGCATAGGAGAAATTGATGACAGCAAGAGATACCACTTACATGCAGCTCTCTTTATTCTTATACTTAATTAGGCAATTAAAGTGTCTCCATAAACTACTTGGCTGCATTATGTAACTTTGATCAACTTAAAGTGTTAAAACAAACTTCAATGAATGAGGAAATTGTGCCTTTTTTACCTTATTTCCCACGGTCATTACCCTGATTTTTTTCACCTCACTTTGCAATAGTTTCGGAAGTCAACAGAGCTATATATATATATCTACTTTCGAATGGAGGGCAGTCTGCCCAATCTTAAACATATCCCAGCTGTGCTTCTGTTTTGAGCCTGGTCCAAGTAGCTTTTTTTCCCCTAGAGAAGGCAGTTTGGCTCTGGATGAATGACACCAGAAATGAGCGAAGTACTTTCAAAACAGCAGGAGAGAGTGAAAAATGCTCAAGAGCCTACTCCGTTTATAAGCCCACGGTAAGCAGAAACTTTCATGCTCAGGTGAAAACTACCTTCTAATAAATCATCAATGTCGTTGAGATAGTCACTATGCTAGCGCCCTGCGGTGAATATGCATTATTACCTCACCTCCATCAAAATCATTTAGCACCCAGAAGGTCAGGAATTTTAAGATAATTTCAACACATGAAAATCTTCTTGAAAACTGAAAGTATCCCCTTACATGAAGTGAATTCCCACATGAGCACTTTGCTGAGGAGAGCCTCCTCGGGTTAACAACGGCCCTTTACAAATAGTATGCAAAATGCTTTACATGACATTTTGCAGATCTGAGATAATGAAGTGAAATAAATAAAGAGCAGCACATGGCTAATCTGCATAAGACAGAGAGGAAACTCCCTTGGCAAGTGAGAGATGGTGGACTGCCTTTTGATTGGCTTGCGGGGAGGATTGGGGGGAATTCTATGCAGTCACACAGTCAAACTTGTGTGGCATGCCAGACAGAGCAGCGACACACTCGCACAAATCCTCACAGGCAGTGGTCAAATGTGCCTATTGCTCCAGTGTAACAAGTTATAATATGAAACAAAGACGTCTATCACTCCATAATTTGTTTACAGAGAGAGTCAAAGATAACAAATAAGATTTTTTTTTAAAACAATGATGATGAAAGAATAGAGCAGGAGATGTTGTAAACATGAAACGACTGTAATTATGCCATAATGTGTAATTTTTGTCTAGTTTTGATACAAACAACACTGTAGTCTGCAACTTGTATACATTAATGCAGAGTGTAGTTCACAAACATGTTCCTTTTTAGGGAATCAAGCTACAGGGTATGTGATAGTGTATGTGATAGGACTGGTTCTCATGCTGCCTTGGTGTCCGAACAAAGAGGGTTTTTTGTCTCATTTGGGGAAATATTTGCCAAAAGATCAAATTTAAAAGCACACGTTATTCATGGCCCAGTTTACTCCAACAATGTCTGATTTGTTGAAAGTGAAACGGGAGCAGTTCTGAGGAGTGAAAAAGCAATCCTTCTGTGATGAATTAATGGTGAACTTATCAGCAACTGTTGCCCTGCATCACATGTAATTAGTAATGGCCATGAGCAGCGGATGAGGAGCCAATCAGATTACAGCTAGCATGTCAACCAAAGACCAACTATCTCCTGGCTTTGACAGCAGGATTTTACCTCCACAATTCAAATCCCAGTGCAAACTGCAATCTGCAGCCACTCACTCATATGGCTGAGCTGACTGTTTACAGGCAACATGCAATGGGAAGCCAAGCAGCTTTGCTGCACAGGGAAAGTACTTTAATTAATATGTGACCAAAATGTAATAATTACCATCCTTCCCTAATATTTCGACAGGGCATTTAAATTATTTAAATTTAAGCTATATTAGCCATGTAACTAACCGTGTGAGGCTGATTCGGCATGCAACACATTCCTTCCGTGATAGCCACACAATTATAGCTTATCACACAAGAAAACAATATAAACGTGACCGTATACGAAACTATCTAAAACGAATGTGTGAACACGTTATAATGTATACACACGTATACAATAAACCCATTAATACCACAATACGTTGTAAATTCAAGGTAAAACAAGCGTACAGACTCTATGTGAGAAAAAACGAGTCGTTGCTCTTCAGTGAGTATTTTCGCCCCTTTTCAAAGTCGGGCCTTCTTCGCTCGATGAACGTCCTTACATCGTTTCAACAACTTATATCTTCATCAAGCGGCACTCTTGCATTGCTACATACCTTCATCGATATATCAAAAACAACAATTATTTAAACCGTGTGCTGTAAAAGGAAAAAAACACACACGAGAGGCAGCCATTTTAGAGTCTTTGCGAACTAGTAGCAGACAATGGCTGGCCTGCTACGTTGTAGCTAGGAGGAGGGAAGGAGACGTGCTAAAGCCCACACCGTGTTCCTGTAATAATGAGACTTTACCTGGCTTCTAGCGAGCGGCTGCCCTGCACTTCCCGGGCTCATAGGCGACGGGTGAAGGCTTCTTTGTTGCCAGGCCGGGTTGCTCCCTCCGTACAGCCCGCTGCTGGCCATGTCTGCTGGTCCCTTAGTAGCTCCCTCCTGGCTGCTGTAGTCGTTAGACGGGTAGTTTGGATAACCCCGCGTAGAGCTGGGGGAGGTCAGGAGCTTGTTGAGTGTCGGTGTCGATGTCGGTTGAGGGTTCCCAATGTTATATCTCTGATTACTGTAAGTTCCAGCCATTGCTGTTGGTGTTGGTGTTGGTGTTGGTCCTCCCGCGGGTGGCTGCTGCTTAACGTTAGCTGGCTGCCCCCCAGCTGTCGGCGCCTGGGTACTGCGAGGGGAGTTCATACCGTACGCTTGGCCCGGATAGGGAGTTCTGTTCGGAAACTGGTTATAATTGTTAAACTGGTGGTTTGAAAAGCCATGCTCGTGTGAATTAGGTTGATACGGCTCCATCATGTTGCTCGACTGAACGACCGGACCCGCAGCAGCTGCCATGCCAGGGCTTTGTTGTCCGCCATGTTGATGAAAAGGGGCCCGACCGTAGTGCTGACTATATCCGTACGAAGGAGGAGGAAACGCGGTGCCGTGATGATGCACCAAACCGGGATGGTTATTTCCCTCCGGTCCGACAGAGTCATTCTGGTTATTATTGTTAGCCCTGGGCGGGTTCCCATTCCCGTTCTTCATCTCAGGTTCCCCTCCTCCCCCTGCATTTCCACCGTCGGCCCCGTCCTGCAGATCCCCCCGGCCCGGCGATCCGCTGCCCAAGCCCGGCTGCTTTTTGTCTGACTGCTTCTCCCCCGGTACCGAATCCTCCTTGGGGTCTCGATCCGGCTTTTTAAGTTCGGAAGGCGGGCTAGTGTTAAGAGTGGCGGCGCTGGCGACCTGAGCGGCCATGATATACCCCCCCACCCCACCTCTCTCTCCCTCTCTCGGCGAGTCAGTCACAATCAAAAGCTAGCATTGAATATAAATAATTGTTTATAACCATTTATCCTTGAGCCGATTCATTCCCACCCTCATACCGGACCGAATCCGGCTGCCATCCCGGTTCCGGTTCCGTAAATGGGTTAAGAATATGATGGACGCTCCATACAATGCGTAAAAAAGCGACAGAAATTGTTGTGGGAGTTGTGTTACTGAGTCCGGGTAGAGGCAGGGAGCAGACCCAACCAACACGAGGCTCCGCTACATACAGCCATTTTACTGAGCCGCACAGATGGCTGCAAGACATGGACTGGATCCGCTCCAATGCGGACTGGACTTTTTTTCTTACCACCACATTGTCTTTTTCCCCCCATAGGTGGAATATCTTCTTCACACGAAGATAGTCTAATGTTCACACAACTTACCAATGTACTGTTGTCAACATATAAGAACTATGTACTCTAAACCAACCGCTCAGTACAACACAATCATATTACTAGTTTATTTCATGAGTGATCAGGGAAAGGGGGGACTAATCCATTTAAGACATATTGTTTATATTATTTTACTTATGTGTGTTTTGCACGTATGTGAATGACACAGTTGCGAGTGTAAAGAGTTGTACAGCACATACTGCAAGATGGTTATTAAATGAAACAGGGAGTCTGGCTTCCACGCACACATACACACAGTACTAATTCATACTTGGGGGGAAAAAAGGGTAGTGATGGTCATATCTATAAATATATTAAAGCTCAGAAATCTGCCTTTGTACATTGTTGTTTATACTTGATTTCCACCAGTGATTCTGAGTGGTATTTAGGCAAGCAAAGGCAACACACACAGGTTTTTCCAGAGTAGAAGGAAGCCTTGCAGCAAACGAGACTACCAATGCACATTCCCTCTTCCTCCCTCCCCTGCCTGCTCTGCTCTCCTCTACCACCCCCTCTCCTCTCTGTCTGTCTCTCACTCCAGCAGAAACACTCCTCTGCTGAGTGTGGGGGGATGGGTGCTCACAGGCTCTCTCTCACCCTACTAACATTGAACTACGCGGTACAGGGAAAGAAAAAAAAACAGACCCTATCTACCAGATAGAGGATGCATGAACAGTTTCAAAGTCTCCCCAACAATTAGAAAAATTGAGCATTTGTCCCCCACCTCTCCTCAGTCAAATGAAGCAGACATTTTTGGCATCCACAAAATGCACAGGGTGTGTGCACAGCATTGAGAAGGGGGTGGTAATGAGAAGTGTGTGTGTACTGTGCTATGCTGAGGGAGTTGTTATTTAAAAAAAAAAAAAAATGCAAATGTATTTTAAGGGTTTTAAGACATGTTTTCCTTCGATTGGTTGTTGATTAAAATTCAGATTCTGGGTGTAAGTGGGACGAGGTTGCCTTTTTGGTTTATGTTCTCACTCTCTGCACACTCGCGCACACGCACACGCACACAAACTGCCTCTCGCTCACACACACACACACACACACACACACACACACACTGCCTCTCTCGCTCACACACATTAATACACACACACACAAACTGTCTCTCTCGCTCTCTCTCACACACACACATGCACTCGCACACACATCTACCTCTAGGGGGGAAAAGGCAGGAAGTAGCAGTGGGAAGTAGCAGTGAGCAGGCATACTTGATCACATGTACAAACATTGGAACACAATTTAACATTCTGCCTGACACACCCCCTCATGCACTGCGAGCAGAGAGCTTTGCAGGCACATATAATTTTTTCACAGCCACCACATCATACCATACAGGGTTAATGTGATTTCCCACATCAGTGCGAGCTTGCAAAGGGGATCACGCTTTATTTCAGGGTGAATACAGCAGTGCATGAGAAGTACATTCACTCTGACACGAAGCCTCTTGTTTAATGTTTGTATGAGTGTCTAGACTTTTGAATTGTAATGTTAATGAGGTACATTCATTAATGCGGATGTTGGGTTTTTAAACTGGGTTTCACAGTAAAGACAGAGTATAAGGGCAGCAGTGGAAACAAAGTCATCTCCCAAGTTAAAAAAGAGAGTTTTAGTTAGCTTTTTTAGAAAGACAGTTCCATCGCAGGGACCAGACACAGGGCCAGTTGTGCAGAAACAGATTTAATGTAGCTTCCTCTCCCCGCCTGACTTAATTTTTCTGCTCTGGCTGCAGGGAACATTTGGAGCAGACTTTAGAGGATCTGGGAAGAGGATTCGCAAGCTCATGTGCCATCTGCTGGACAAAAGAGAGGGCCTACATACAAGCACTTGCTCTTGGCCAAAGTCATTTCTACTTCTGATGTGTTGGCGATGTTTCTGACTCGTCTTTGTTATAAATTGCTTCTTGAGCATTAGTTAAGCAGTCATGTTATTTCTAAGTATCCTATGTTTTCCTGATATTCATTCCAATTGAACCAGGAAGAAGCACAACCCACATGTTGTACTGAGCAGAAAAGCTCTGTGTATCTTTCATTATGCTATAATTAAAGAAAACACATTACAATCTATACTGTACAGGATTTGGTGTTACATTTGTTCAGACTTCAAAACACTTCTTACAACTTATACAATGTAATCAAATTGGTTGGTTCTTAATCAGTTTAGTATTTGACCTACAAAGAATATTAAAATGTTTTTTATAAACAATGTTTATATTTACCTATCCACTATCCACACACTCAAATTGATAGTATCTGAGGCACTGCTGATTGTCAACTTCCATTATATCCCTCTTCATATCAAGGGGATTTTCTACTCTGTATCTTTCTGTCAGATGTACTCTACACTAATACATGCACATGACAGGAGGAAAGTCAAAATCTTCAGGATTATCTTTGCCATACTTCTTTAATTCAATAACAGAACCCAATTGATGCACAAATAAGCTCAAATAACCATCGAGTAGTAACAACATTAATCTTTTATTTCCATCCAATCCCCATAGAGAAGACACAAAAAATGCAGTCACCTTATTGTTTCAGAATGAGTGTGACTGACCCATGATGCTTAGCCATTGACATTTTACCTGTGCTCTTAAAATATATGGTGAACATAAACATCTAACAAAACTAAACTTAAATGAGGGCCGTTGCATTTGTTACATTTTGAGAAAATGTATTGGCATTAATTGGAGATTAACCCCTTTCGATGATAACTGAAGAAAAGCTCTTAATTTACCCCTACTCAGTTGTCCTCATTGTGAATTGTATGACGTGTGGTGCAACCTTGAAGCATCGACAGCACCCAAATGTAGTTCCTATCTCTTCTTCGCTTTCGCAGAGAGGCTCAGAATTCAGGCCAAGTTAGATGGATGTTGCCAAGACTCCCCTTGTATACTGAAGCTAAAAGGGCAAAAAACAGTTTTGTCCTTTTATCTGGGTTTTTCAATTTACAGATCCATCATTTCCTCCTCCAGAGTCTTTCCACTGGTTTCGACATAGCGCTCTTGCACTCCAAGAGTACTGAAGAACTGTTAAGGAAAACATTGAAAGACGTACATTTTACAAGTATATTTTAAGATTCAGGTTACCCTTAGCAAAATCCATTGAAAATCATTAGTCTTTTTACGATCTCCTGCAAATTTCAAGGTTTGTCTTTAAAACACATGAGTCACAGTGAGTCACCATAGCGATTAGAAAAGGATACGAGTCGAACTGGAAGTCTGCCCCCACAGCAGCTGACATCATGGCCTGCAGATTCCTCTCCTCCAGGTCTCCAAAGCAGTAGCCATTGGCTTTGTCCACAGTCCGTAAGACCTGAATCATGCTCTCTCTGTCCTGGAAACGAAAGAGGAGAAGAATGTGAGATCGGGGGTTTTTCCCTTGACAAATTCCCTGAAACTGCCAGATGGCTTAAGATTTGCTGAAAAAACTCTCACCGAAACCTTGATAATGTGCTGTTTAATTATATTCATGGTTTCTGAATAATCTGTATAAAACAGTATATAAATCAGTGTGGGATTTAACTTGCTTCATATGTCCTTATTCTCTTCTCCTATTGTTTTTCTACCAGGCAGATCTACTGGAGGAGCAGACTGCAGGCAGCTCTTTCCTTGGAAAAAGATTTTGAAACCCCCTCAGAAATGTAGCAGTGCAGCCTGTTCAGCCTTGCAGTATGTTTATCAATGCTCAGTATTTGGTGATAAGCTACACATGAATACAAAGCCATAAAATCCCAAACTTCCTCTGCTGCTCAGAGTTCAGCATCTAGTCCCTCTCAAGGTCAAACGTGTTGTGTCTTTGTTCTTTTAAATTTGCTCTCTTAAAGTACCCTTGGTAACCACGGTTACCAGTGGCTGCTCAACTTAAAGGGGGTAGAAAAACGTAGAAACACATCAAGGCTGCGTTCTCACCACTGTGGAAACAAGACTGCCAACCTGCCATTTGTATAAATTACTCGTCCCATAGGCAGAAATGGCACAGCGGTCTAGACTCATCACACAGGATCATATCAGTCTCCATGAAAACATAATGGCAGGGAACGAATACAGTGTGCAGACAGCCCACTCCCTTTCAACAGCCCAATCCATCTGCAGAACATTGATCCACCGCTCAATTTTCAACTGCTAAAAATGATTTATGATGAACTTGTTGGAACGATGAAATATGCCATGACTGATTTTTTAAGATGTCTTGAAAAGGGAGTCATCTTTACACTTGGGAATAAATGTTTGAGTTTAACATGTTTGGGCTGGTTATACTAAATAATATAGATATTCAGTGGGTACTAAAACATCCCTGTAAAAATATAATGAAGGAATTCTTAAATGCTATCCACTCAACATCTCTCAGTGGCTTTGCATAATTTCACAGAAATATATAAAACCTGAGACAAAGGGTTTCAAATTAACTTACACTCAAAACATGGAAAGACTCAATGGCTAAAAAAAGGTTTTACTAAACTTGTAATCTTTCATCCTGTTATTCTTTGCCAAACACAGATAAGCTTCAAGGCCTTATTTATGTGTGTGTGCCATATTTTGTACAGCTGTTCAGGCTACTTGTGAGTTTGGATTAAGTTCATAGCAGACTTGACATTTGTTATCAATTAGCAATTACATGACTAGCAGATTGCAATATACAGTAGCTCTGTTAATTTTTCTTTCAGCAAAAACATCCCTGATCAGAAACAGGGCGATGTTTTTCTTTTTTTGGCGTTACAAAATGGCAGCAGATCATGCATACAACTTGATCCGTTACAGAAAATATTACCTAAATATTAGTCACATTATAAACCTATATGAATAACATTAATTATATAATTAATTCTAATTTAGAAGGTTGATGACAGCCATGTACATTTAACCCCTAGATTAGCATCAACAGCCCAATCCTTTTTTTAAATTAAGGGAAGCCCCAGGAATTCAACTTGTAATGTCTGAATCATATTTAAGTATATATATATGGGCATTTTGGCTTGCATATTCCACCAGTCGTTTGAAATACATTGAGACAGAGTGTCATGCTTATAGATAACAAACAAGAAACCATTTAAAACAGTCAAGGATAATACCTGCACATTGAGAGGCACAAAGGAGACAAGGCTGTAATCTTGTATGACTTCTGCCAACTTTTCATTAAGACGATGGAATTTCTTAAAGAAGGGGTCTGCAGCCAGGTGATCGAGAAGATATGTCAAATCCATGACCTCTGTGTAGAAGTCAAGGTTGAAAGCTGTGTAAGAACAGACAGGAAAAATGTTAAAATGGTGAATTAAATGACCACATAAATATGTTTCTGACAAAGTTGCTTGTTTATTTATTTCTGAGAAATATAAGAATACTGGGTCTTTATTTGTAATATTTTTTGAGTGTGTTAGAATTTTGTTTTTGTTTAAGGTAAAGCCAAAAGCCCTTAACTTACCCAGTTTGCCATACTGCTCAATCAAGTCCATCTTGGAGAGGATGTTGACGTGGGGAAGCTCCACGTGCAGCATGGTGGACAGGGAGGTGCACAGCACAGAGATGAACTTTGCCGGGTCAGCGCAGTAGTGAGAGTCCACAAGGTGCACTGAAGTGAGCTGAAAAAAGGGAGAAGGTGGTTGAGAACTTGTATCAGGATTCAATACAATCATGACAATCAGCACTGCTCCCAGTAGTCTGCACATACCAACACTGACAATTCCCCTTTGCAGTAACAATTTATACCAAACTGTGATATATCAACATTTCATACACGTGTACAAATGTGAATCCAATCATGAACTTATATTTAGCTTTTTTACTTCTTTTTTTAATGATGACTCTTGTTGTGGCTCCCCTATGGCACTGAAACACTGCAGTATCTCAGCTCTGGGACTAATTAAAGGTTATCCTAACTATTATCTTAACATATTGTATATACATGATGACAGTATAGATAAAGTATCAGTGTAAGAATTAGGTGAAATAACAAAATTCCCATCCCTGAATGTTTAAGAAGCTCACCCTGAAGTTCCACTTGGCGAGCTGTGAGAATATATTCTTTACTGAACTCTGGTGTGTGTAGAGCTCCACTTGTCCTGGACAGTCAAACAGGAAGTAACAGTCACTGTGCTCTTTCAGCTTGTTCTCTAACCAGTCCAGATTTGCTTCTACATACTCCATACAGTAGAGGAGCCCACCGTTGGGCCCGAGCTTCATGCTCTCCATCACATCGTCCAAAGTGACCAGCTCTGAGATATTCACCGCACAAGAGTACGGTAGAGTTTCGTTGGCAGGGTCCATGTTCACCACAATCACCTTGCGTCCCAGGCTAGTCAGGAATTCCTGCATTCCTCGACAGTAGGTGGTTTTTCCAGAGCCTGCGGGTCCAATGACCACCTGGCCGAAGCGCAGGGAGGGCTTTACTCCTGTATGGCTTGACATGGTTTCAGTTCCCCAAGGATTGGAGAGAATCATATAAAATGGGGCCAGAAGTCAGATGTCCACATAGGATGTCCTACTGGGTGTCAGCATCCAGGTTCTTACCTGCAGGGTCACATCAGTCAGTGTGAGATCATTAGCATGCAAAAGGCTAGACAAAAGGACATAACAGGTTACTTTACTAATTGCTGTAAAGCTATATAGTCAAAGAGATGTAACACATTGTAATCCCTGTTGACTTTGTTTACATAATGGAATATCACACATCCTGCAACTTCAATGGGCAAAAACTTAATTGAACGAGATCAGCATAATTTTGGTTTGAAGTGAGCTACACATACATTGGGGGTATATATATATCTAAAACCTAAAAAGTTACGGGGTTCTTTGTAGGTTTGAAAGGATCCCCCCCCATACTTAGCTAAACAGGGTTAAGGTGAACGATGTATAAACAATTGCAACATCACACTCCGGATAACTTAACAGTAAAGTTATTAAATAAAAACTGCAAACTGTAGCTAATTTTAAGTGTATGTGTGAGCATATGGAGTACCTTTTCTGTTACGACATTGTGGACTTTGTTTATAAATGTAATAAGTATGGATGGATATTTACCGTCTGCTGCCGTTGTGTTTGCATGCGTAGAGCGGCAGCTAGCTAACTGGCTAAAAAACTCTGAAGTACATCCGGGTCACGTGCTCGAGGTTTCAAAATAAAAGCAATGTTTTATTTGAAAGGGATTCTACACTTACCCTTGCGCAATGGTGGAAATTAACCAAGTACATTTACTCAAGTTATTCTGCAGTAGATGTATGCGTCTTTATACTTCTGTTCCACCACATCTCAGAGGCAAACGTTGCACTTTCTATCCTTCCACTACATAATTTTTATCTGACAACTTTAGTAACAATTACTTTTACTTTGGTGCTTCAAATATATATATTGATACTCATACTTTTGTACTTCTACTTAGGTAAAACATTTTATTTGCAATGGATTAATTCTACACTGCAGTATTGCTGTTTTTATATAAAAAGACTACTTTTTCCAATCACTGCCTTTGGATAGCGGTTTTTATATTTCAGCCTAAAACATATGTAACATTATTAATACATTTCATACTTTTCCATACATATGTGAGGCATTAACATAGGAACAACATTTTTTTCGTGATTAAGACAGTCATTTGAGGAATTATATAATAATATAAAAAGACAAAATCACCACAAATGTAATGAAAGGTTTGAAAAATGTTTTAATAAAACAGTCAGACAAGTAAATAGGTAAAAAAATCTATAGAAAAATAAAAAAGTTGTCATCTTCGGGGTCCAATGATGCCACCTGGCTGCCAGCCTCTGTACTTCATACTAGTGATTGGTTGACGTCTCAGCAAGGTGTCGCCTCCATCAATGTTTTTAGGTTTGTCATAGACTGTACTTATATGAAGATCTGTTTTGGCCTTTTTTACGGGATTCAAGAACAATTTCTCTCCATGATACCTGCAGGGAAAAAACATATATTGACTTCAGGAGAGCACTACAAACAGTACATACTCATTGACATACCAAAACATGCCACATGCAGTTATTTTGTTTGATTCAGTTTTCATGTTCATACGCACCCAAAGCCCCTTTTACAATAGGGATGTTGTCCGTCACTCTCAAGAGCGTCAGGAATCCCAATCTGACTGTTTCCCAACCCATCACCATCCTTCCAGCCTTGTTTTTCCATCAAACGACGGCCAAAGCCCTAAAAAGTAAAACAATATTATGAAAACTGTTCATATAAGCTATGAGATGGAGTAAGTTAAAGGCCAAATCCTTACCCTAGTGTACTTCTCAAAGCTGCCAATGGATTGACTCTCTCCAGATCTTTCTTCAAGACCCTCCCTCAGCCTTTTTTCATACCTCATCCGGACATAGTCACGGGCATCCATGTCACCTCCATCTGCGAGAGAAAGACCTTGGTTAAAGATCCTGCATAGGTAATCTGGCTTCAATGTTATCGCAGATGTAAAAAAAACTTGAAATACCTTTATCATAGTACACACTCATGTCGACATCCCAGTCATCTGTCGTTTGTTCATCAAAATCTGAAAACAGAAAAAAAAGAAGGAATAAATGTTATTGATATCTCCTCTAGCAAATAACTTCATTTTAAGGACAAAAAACAAATACATTGATCTTATGATTCAATTTAGATAAAAATACATTTTGCACACTTAAAATATATTTAAACACTTTCAGATTTAAACTAAACAACACTAGCCATATTATTTGATATTCAAGAGGTATATATCAAGACTTTTTCCTAGTATGTTAGTGTTGCAAACCTCCTTCTTCCTCCTGCCAGAACTGGGCGTCAGTGTAGAAAACCAGGCCTGAGCCGCCCTTCTCCCACTTCAGCTCGATCCTCTCCTCAAACAGCCTCTCTTTGCTTCGCTCCTGGCTCGTGACATCCTCATGCAAAGCTTCATGGCGTTCCCACTCCTCACACCAGTCATCATCCTACAACCAACAACATGAACAATTGTCAAACAGCAGTCAAGGCATGATGATTTTTCATGTATACTTGACATAAACATAATGATATATGGATTCAAACCCACATCATCTGCATTTGAATGTGCATCCTCTTCTTCTTCCTGTGGCTCGTCAGTCTCTGTTGTTTGTGTGCGATCAGCCAGCAGCCTCCGTCCTAGGTATGGAGCAGTATAAGTTCCTGGTCCTGAGATTTCATGTCCATCAGCTGTGAATATAGTCTCCTCTGTGGCTGGAAGTGTCCAACTGTCCTTATACTGGAAAGGTACATTGCCGTACCGGCGGTTGGAGCCAGTCTTGGGGAAAGTGAGGCCCAACTTCCGGATAAGTCTCGGAGGCAGTCTGCAGGACTGGATGAGCTGGAGGAAGACTTTCACCGGTGTGCCCACATTGCCATTCTGCATCAGAGCTGGTGGATTCAGCTCGGATAAACTCTTGAGGTCAGCTTCTGTGAAACGCTCTGTTAAGGACACTCGATGGCGCTGCTCGTGCTTCGATTTATAGGGGAATGAGCCATCATCTGGAAAAGGAAAACAAATTAAATGGAGAACTACCTTTGAAATAAGTCTCTAAATAATTTTCGTGGTTTAAAATGACAGGACTCTTGATGTAATCTTCAAGTCACTATACAGTTTTTTATTATTAAAACATAAAGGTCCCCTTTAATATGGCACAACAGAAATATGTCTAATCCAGACAAAACGAGGAGTGATCTGTTTGTATGAGAAGCTACTAAAATGAGCCTGCCTTTATTTAAACTATGTAGGAAATAATATTGATCACTAACCTTTGTCGTGTGAAACCTTTACTCTTTTAACAACACAGCGTCTAGCCAGCCAGTCCCCCTTGGAGTTAATCCAGTGATTCCCCGCATACATCTTGATCAATCTGTCGGCATCTTTCGCATGAAGTGAGACTATACAGCAGCAGGACTTCACCGTCTGCTTCTTCACGGAGCTGTTTTCTGTCACGGCGCTGTTTTCTGTCACGGCGCTGTTTTCTGTCACGGCGCTGTTATCTGTCACGGAGCTGTTTTCTGTCACGGCGCTGTTTTTTGCAACGGAGCTGATTTCTTTGCCCTCTTCACCTTCTCCACACATGGGGTTTTTGGGTTTTTTGGGGTTTTCGGACCCCTCGGACTCCCTGAGAAGCTCCGGTCGATGTCGATAGTGAAAACACTGAAAACCTCCGCTCTCTATAAACTGACTGAAATAATTTCTCAGGTCCGCGGAGTGAAAGGCAACAGGAATGTTACCAATTGCTAAATACACAGGAGCTACCACTACAGAGTCCGCCATCTTTGTTTCTTTTTTGGACGTTAAACATCAACAGATCGGAACGGTAATGACGTCAGTTCCGCTTCCTGAGAACATTTAAAAGTTTGCATCAGGGGTGGACATATAAAATAGTTAAAAAGTTACATATTTCAGATTCAATATTTGTTAAATTCACAATTAGTTTTGATTCATAATATTTTAATAGTGCTACTATATTGTTTTAATTCTTGGTAAACATTTTTTTAAATGTGGTTTGGCATCAGCCCATCTCTTTTTATGAATATGAAATGACCCTAAAAATAAAATGTACTTTACAAAAAAAAAAAATCTGTGTTAATACCAAGCGGCAAACTCTGGGGAAGAGCCGGGACGCCAATACGGAAGTGCCACAAACTGCAGTTCATATATTGGCCGATAGGCGATGACTGCAGAAAGGAGCAATTTCCATAGACCCCCATGTTAAAATGCCCAATTTCACAGCAGAAAAAAAACGTTTCTAGCCATGGATGCAATAAATATTATTATGTATATAGTTAGATTCCACCTTCATGATTATGAATCTGTGAGTGAATTGTTTTCTAACATGACCCTTTTATTTATATTAGGTCTTAAAGTTTTTGCATAAATTAGGGCGTGGTCACATTGAGTGACAGCTCTGTCAAGTGACTGCTGCTGTTAGCTTCTTGTCTCTCTGCTAGCTGCTCCGTCTCCATGAAGCTACAGGGACTCTGCCTGCTCAGTTCATCCAGGGAACACAACTTGACCCCGGCCGTGTTTGTTTGTTCTTCATGCTTATATATCGGACTATTGTGACTCGCTCTGCGGTTAAAACAGACGGTGCATGAATGCCGTTTTGCGGTAAGTGAAATTCGAGTACTTTATTTATGTGTTTATGATTTCAATCAGCTACATAATGAATGTTAAGGCTTTGGTTAGCGTGTAAGCGAGTGGTAGCTACATCGGTGCTAACGATGCTAATCTTAGCCTCCAAGTTAACTTAAAACCATAGACTGTATATATAAAGGTTCAAACGAAATAGACAAGTGTTAAGCGTTAAGTGGGATAATACTGTAGAACAAAAGGCTTCTGTTTGAGGTTGATAAAATAAGGTCATCCTTGTAACTTAGAGAGATATTTTATTATGTAGGTAGTAACTGTATGCATCGCTAAGGTTAATTTAAATTGGCTATGCTCAAGTATGTAGACAAGCTAACGTCGAAGTAGTGTATGTGAAATCAACCTCACAATAAGATGTGTGTATATTACAATTATTAATGTCATATTTCAAGATGATTACTTAGATATTACAATATGGTTGGTTGAGCTGGAGTTCATTATTGAGCTTACACGTTAACGTCACAGTCATCTGAAGAACGAACCCAAACCTTGTTGTTTTTATTAATTGCATTACCAAATTGGTATCAAATAAACAGTAAGCATTGGTAACACAACTTCCAAAGTTACAGTAAAATAAAAAGGACCCTGACTCGACAAAATGTATTTAAAGACCAATCTTTATTTGAAGGTGCCTCTTAACCTGAGATATTAGTTATACAGTAATAGTATTGACAATCTAAAAAAACTGAGCAACTCAACAGTCAACTTTATATTTCTTATTGTCTAAAGCATTTATTATTTTCATGTTTCCCCTCTCATATTCAGTGTGGATGGATTGAGACAGCGTGGTGTCCAGAGAGCTGCAGAGACTTCAGGGAGAAACCTCCGTGTGATGGACGGATTGAGACAGCGTGGTGTCCAGAGAGCTGCAGAGACTTCAGAGAGAAACCTCCGTGTGATGGACGTCCTGTCTGTTGGTTTGGCCGGAGAGGACTGAGGGTCTTTCCTCTGTGAGGAGCACCAGGCCTGATGGAGGAGCCCATGCATAGCTGATACCACCTGATCAGGCCTAGTCTGTCACTTTATTTGACTAAATGTGTTTACTTATACATTTAATAGGTTTACACCTTCTGTCCATATGTGCTTTTTATTTAAAACATGTTTGATTAACTTTTGGTTCACATTTCAATAAATTGAATTTGTATTTGCACTCCTTTTGTCCATTATTCTTACTGAAAATGTTAGATTACACATTCACATCCGACTGAAGATTGGCCCCATTTATTTGCGTTGCAAACTCTGCGGTACAAGGTACATGTTGTGAAGCTCATGAAGTGAGGCAAATAGAAATAATCAGCTGATGGAGTGTAGATGTGGAAATAGGTGCATTCGATCAGCTGACTGTGTTTTCACAATAAAAATAGTTTCTTAGTGAATGTCCTGTACTGGTCTTAACATCTCATAACATCAGCTTTTAATTTTCCTATTGGATGTTTTTCTTGACCCTCAGAGAAAGAGGAGATGCTGAGTCGTGTCTTTCAGGCATGTCCTTTCCTAACAAAAATTACAGGAAACATAAAACATATTATTGCAGAACAAGTGTGTTATTTATGAAAGAGGTGTGTTTGTGTTTAGGGGCTGTAGATATAATTATTTTGTAATTGTAATGTTGTTGTTTTTTCAACAGTGAGCTACAAAGACAATCAGATTATGAATGAACAGTATGAAATTCATCAACATTGAAATGTATTTTATTATCAAAATAATATTTAACTGTTATTAAAACAAGCTTGCTCTGTTGTCTCACTGAAAGAATAACTTTTACCACGTTTTTACAGACAATATTGAGAGATAAATAGCAGTTGTCACTATGCGTTAAATATCTTTGCCTTCAATACATTACATTAGAAAGCTGACAGTCATATTGCTTGTTAACATCTAAATGTAACCCTTTGCATGGAAAAAACCCTCAACTTCACTGATGTGTAGGTGATCTAGTATTTAGTATTGTTTAATGGAATGTATAGCAGTGTATTAAAGTCAATACTTCATTTATTTAAACCAATATCTTTCTTGATTCTTTGTACAGTATGAAAAAAGAGTCTTTGTACCTGTGCTGAAGTTCACTGCTGTGAGGAGTCCAGTTCTGTCTCTCACTCTCTGGTCCAGCCTGTCTGCATCACCTGGACACTTTAAACAAACAGATATATATGTAAAGAACCATGTGTACAAACAATATAACTGATTATCTTCTGTTGAACATGTTGGATTGTGTATTGTCCGAGTCAGGGTCCTTTTTATTTTACTGTAACTTTGGAAGTTGTGTTACCAATGCTTACTGTTTATTTGATACCAATTTGGTAATGCAATTAATAAAAACAACAAGGTTTGGGTTCGTTCTTCAGATGACTGTGACGTTAACGTGTAAGCTCAATAATGAACTCCAGCTCAACCAACCATATTGTAATATCTAAGTAATCATCTTGAAATATGACATTAATAATTGTAATATACACACATCTTATTGTGAGGTTGATTTCACATACACTACTTCGACATTAGCTTGTCTACATACTTGAGCATAGCCAATTTAAATTAACCTTAGCGATGCATACAGTTCCTACCTACATAATAAAATATCTCTAAGTTACAAGGATGACCTTATTTTATCAACCTCAAACAGAAGCCTTTTGTTCTACAGTATTATCCCACTTAACGCTTAACACTTGTCTATTTCGTTTTAACCTTTATATATACAGTCTATGGTTTTAAGTTAACTTGGAGGCTAAGATTAGCATCGTTAGCACCGATGTAGCTACCACTCGCTTACACGCTAACCCAAGCCTTAACATTCATTACGTAGCTGATTGAAATCATAAACACATAAATAAAGTACTCGAATTTCACTTACCGCAAAACGGCATTCATGCACCGTCTGTTTTAACCGCAGAGCGAGTCACAATAGTCCGATATATAAGCATGAAGAACAAACAAACACGGCCGGGGTCAAGTTGTGTTCCCTGGATGAACTGAGCAGGCAGAGTCCCTGTAGCTTCACGGAGACGGAGCAGCTAGCAGAGAGACAAGAAGCTAACAGCAGCAGTCACTTGACAGAGCTGTCACTCAATGTGACCACGCCCTAATTTATGCAAAAACTTTAAGACCTAATATAAATAAAAGGGTCATGTTAGAAAACAATTCACTCACAGATTCATAATCATGAAGGTGGAATCTAACTATATACATAATAATATTTATTGCATCCAGGGCTAGAAACGTTTTTTTTCTGCTGTGAAATTGGGCATTTTAACATGGGGGTCTATGGAAATTGCTCCTTTCTGCAGTCATCGCCTATCGGCCAATATATGAACTGCAGTTTGTGGCACTTCCGTATTGGCGTCCCGGCTCTTCCCCAGAGTTTGCCGCTTGGTTTGTACACATGGTTCTTTACATATATATCTGTTTGTTTAAAGTGTCCAGGTGATGCAGACAGGCTGGACCAGAGAGTGAGAGACAGAACTGGACTCCTCACAGCAGTGAACTTCAGCACAGGTACAAATACTCTTTTTTCATACTGTACAAAGAATCAAGAAAGATATTGGTTTAAATAAATTAAGTATTGACTTTAATACACTGATATACATTCCATTAAACAATACTAAATACTAGATCACCTACACATCAGTGAAGTTGAGGGTTTTTTCCATGCAAAGGGTTACATTTAGATGTTAACAAGCAATATGACTGTCAGCTTTCTAATTTAATGTATTGAAGGCAAAGATATTTAACGCATAGTGACAACTGCTATTTATCTCTCAATATTGTCTGTAAAAACGTGGTAAAAGTTATTCTTTCAGTGAGACAACAGAGCAAGCTTGTTTTAATAACAGTTAAATATTTTGATAATAAAATACATTTCAATGTTGATGAATTTCATACTGTTCATTCATAATCTGATTGTCTTTGTAGCTCACTGTTGAAATAAAAAAAAACATTACAATTACAAAATAATTATATCTACAGCCCCTAAACACAAACACACCTCTTTCATAAATAACACACTTGTTCTGCAATAATATGTTTTATGTTTCCTGTAATTTTTGTTAGGAAAGGACATGCCTGAAAGACACGACTCAGCATCTCCTCTTTCTCCGAGGGTCAAGAAAAACATCCAATAGGAAAATTAAAATCTGATGTTATGAGATGTTAAGACCAGTACAGGACATTCA